GAATTCTGGACAGGCTCTTCAATTTAGAGGGCCAGACTTTGTCTTCGAGTCATTTGTTCTTGAATCAGCATAATTATCTTCAATCTAGCCGTTGAAAATCAAGAGATTGATTTTTCCTTACCAACGGGTAGAATTTCTTCATTCAGGACTTAGATAATTTTTCTAAGTCTTTTCTCACTTGTCCGCTTTCTGAGAATTCTGGTCTTCAGTGAGTCTTCCGATTCTTAGCTGACAAATCCGGATGAGTCATTTTCAGACTTCCGGGTGAGAAAGAGATCCGCGCTAGTCTTCCGATTTGGATGACTTAGACTTCAGCGGGTTGTAGCGAGACATCCGGTTCTTATGTAGTCTTCCGGATCAGAGGATTTTCGTTTGCTTGAGAAACCCTTACTTGTCTCTGACATTTCCGAACGAGATATCCGATTTCCATATCACTGAATTTGATTAAGTCTTCAGGCATCAAAACGCTTAAAGAAATATCACAGCTTTTATTGGAAATCTCAAGAGCTCGGTTTTGACAATATTTCTAAAAAGAAAAATTACATTGAATATTGGGGGAGATCTAAAGTCCCTAATACATTCTAAATACATCATCATCAAAATCTATAATATTTTTCCCAACATATTTATCTTATGAAAGTTAGAATGATATCGACGCTATATTAAACAGTGAAATTATGATGGGGTAGTATTTCACATGGCTGAGAATATCTCAAGAGTCAAAATGTGTATTGTTTTAGACCATGGCGCTTGCTATATACCAGGATATGAATTCTTTAATTGGAAGTGAGATTTTGTAGAAAAGTAATATTGTCTCTTTTTTGTAATTTCATATTCTCTTCGTGCATATGGTCTCCAAGGAACTACTCTGAACCATGCATGCTTCCATTCGTATAAGGTGGTTCACATTCTTCCAACACCAAATAATAAAGGGTAAGATTTACATTTTTTCTGTTTTGGAATCAGCAATAACACTAGGCTTTATAGCACATCCCTACATGAATTCTGCCTAATTTTCAACCATGAAACACTATTTATTGTAAGGAAATATGGTGTTGTGAGTGTGACAGATCAAGAATATATACAGTGCTCAGATGCTCTACTCTCAAGCCAAGGTAAACAAGCATTAACAATACTTCTTTTGCTAAGATTTCTTAGAGATGATTTTCTGACATGGTCATTTGTTATACGGTTTTTATTTTATTTACTAGGTTTGTGTGGGGTGTTTGTTTGTACTTTCATTCACTGACATATGACTACACCCTTTTATTAATAGGGATGAGCATAATGGGTCTATATTTACATCTTATCTAAACATAGATGAATGAGTTACTTTGTTGTGAGTTTTGTTGGAAAGATTATATATTTCAAAAACTAAAATGATCAATTTTAACTGCCCATTATAAATGTATAGGATTTACAAATTGTGCAATTTCAATCACTTTTACTATTTCTGTTAATCGAAATGGTCATAAAACTTTTAAAAAAGTATATTTATTTTTTATAAATATTAAAACATGAGACAAATCGGTGCACTAAGAAGACTTAAGAGGTACACAAAATGACTTAACTCAATATCCATCTCGAGGCCAATAGGGCTAATTAATGAAATCTTTAGGGCCATATGTTGGCTTAATTATTGCTTCATTAACTCTTTTCTATTCTAATTTTATTCTTTATATATCTAGAAGATTGGCATCCACATTGTGTGACATAAACTAAATACGGAGTAAAAGCTATAAAAAATTTGCATTCATCTTCATCCTTAGTTTATGTTGTGGTGTATGTGTGAAGGCTGGCTTTTCATTTTCTTATGTCAGTTAGAATGATACCAAAGCTATATTAAACAATGATACTAGATGGGACCGGGGTAGTATTTTAGCGATGATGAAGTGAATAGTGCTTGCTATATACTAGGGTATACATTCTTTTCTTTAATTTGGAAGTGAGACTTGGTAAAGTTCATGCAGAGTTTTTAATGGAAAGTTAGAACTTATTTTTTAGAAAGTGACATTTTGTTGATGAGTCTTAAAGGTAAGATAAATAAGGTACAAGATATAAGCACAACGATATATCTCATCAACATGATAGTTGGGTCATATAGTATGGTGTTATTTCGAACTCTATTTCTCTTGCAGATACCCTAAGGTAGCATGCTCTTTTATTTTGTTGCGTCTAATTGCATCAACTTTTTGAAACTTATGTTACAACTAATAATAACTTAGCTATTATATATTCCAGGTGTGAATTTTGTGATATTATTGTTAGATTTTGGTAGTTTAGATGATTGAAACTTGAAAGATAATACTCTTATCAACTATTTTTTTTAGTGTTTCACAAGTTATCAAATATGCTTATGTTGTAGTGATTAGTAGAGCATGAGAAAATGATACCCTAGAGAACTGGATAGCCCTATCAAGATTACCAAGTCTCCATACTGGAAAAGGCTTTGTCGCACCGAGGAGGTAGCCTACTGGTTGTTTCCATATATTGACCTCAACGAATGCCTCACCTACCTGGAACTGCAGAGAGAGGTTTTACTATGAAGAAGGCAAAGAATTCCCTAAGAGCGAAACTCCGCCTCCCCCTTTCATGAACCTAGCCTAGATCAGAAACCAAACTCCTAAAAATTTGATGTTTTTATGGAGGTTTGTTTTTTGCAGATGACACAGACAATCACTCCCTACTCCACTGTCACTACAGTAATTGCAATTTCTACCATTCTCTCAACTATGTTCCCCGAGTGATGTAAACACTTCTTTTATTCAAATGAATTAAATTTTCCAAAAGAAAAAAAGTCAACCATATAAGGTATCATTTGGTATCCATGTTGTCATGTTCACTTAAATCTTACAGAGTATATGTTTCACTTTAATGTACAGGCTGAGTCCATAAAGAGTTCCAACACGGTTTTTGTACTGAACCTTGAAATCAAATAAAGTACAGAGTAATTATCATCGAAAAATATTCTCTCATACCCTTCCTTTTGGATAGCCTATGATTATTTGTTAAATTGTTTCATTCATAGAGGACAAATTAAATAATGTATACTTCACCAAGTGTTTTTATCAAGATTTGCATATGATGAAAAAAAATTCCATCAGTTAAATGTTTTTACCCAAAGTCCATGGGTATAGATTATGGAGTAAAAAAAATTCCCAACTTTTTACTTCATTGCCTTAAGCCTGACTCACATATTTAACTGTATTTCATAGAAAGAACTATAAATCATAATAAAAATTTTAATATTTTAGTTTATCTCATGTTTAAATGAAGTTAGTTCTAATTTCATTTGTTTAAATAGTAATGCTATATTAAAAATTAAAAAATAATTAAGTGACTAGAATACTTGAGACTATATTTTCTAAGAAAATGATACTATACGTGTCATGATTATGTACTTCACTTTTACACAAATTGATGGTATGTGTACTATGAGGTTGATTCAATTCATATCTTAAATTATATTACCTAGAACTTTTGTTTATGGTAAGACGACTAATTATGATATGAAATAAAAATATTTTCATACGTACAATTTGGCTATTTTTAAAAATGTTGAATATTAAAAAAACAAATTGTAAAAAAGATTCAATTTGACTTTTGTACTTTATCTTGGTAACTTTTGTTTATGGTAAGACGACTAATTATGATATTAAATAAAAGTATTTTCATACGTACGATTTGGCTATTTTTAAAAATGTTGAATTTTTTTAAAAAACAAATTGTAAAAAAGATTCAATTTGACTTTTGTACTTTATCTTGGTAACTTGATTTACTATTTTAATCAAAATAACTTTATACTGTAACTTATGATTTACTCAGCTTACAGTTATATTGTGTTACAATTCACAATGTTTATACATAAAATGAAGACATTTTGAATGAGAGAGGACTTACTTTTACGTAGTCGTACATAGACACTTCATACGATGATATTCTAAGAGATGACACAGATTTATACAAAGAAAATTGTAATAAAGAAGATCAAGGTGTAGAGGGGAGCGTGACAAGATCTGTGACAATGAATATCTAGGCACATGGATAGTCAGAAAAGTAAGAAAAAGTGTACAAAAAATCCAAGGTGCCATTGCTAATAAGATCGAGCCTAAGTTACAACCACATCAAAGAGAAATATAATTTTCAATTTGTAACTATTTATATTTTAATTAAACATTTTACATATTGACCAGAATACTATCACAAGATTGAATGATTTTGTAACTTTAAAATAAAAAAGAACAAAAAATTGAAAAATATTTTAAAATTCCTCTTAAAGAAATCAACCAAAATAGGAGTTAAATATTATTATTTTTATTACCATTATAGAATTGACTTACTTTTATCCCTAAAAGAAGAAGTGACTTATTTTAATCTTAAAAGTGTATTATCGCATTGTGAAAATATGACACTATATATAGGCATTTCATTATAATTTTTGGTCTTATATATTGCCATTATTATTAACATTCTTATTTTGAAGATAAAAGCATGAATGCTTTGTTTTGATTATTTTTCTATATTTTACTCATTTACTCATTAATCTTTTTCACTTTCCCGTCAGCGTCATTGGAGCACTAACATTTCTTTTTGTATTAATGTTTTTCTAAATCAACTAAATGAATTTGGGAGATTTTGTTTTTAAAATGCGAGAGAGAAGAATAATTTTTTATAATCATTGCGGGGGGGGGGGGGGGGG